ACTGGCTTCCCTCTCCCAAAAGATCTAAGAAACTGAATGGCAGTCATAAGAAATTGTGTGTGCGTGCGTGCCTGCGTGCGTGCCTTCCCCAGCCCCAAACATTTTTCTGACCACTTCCTCTGGTCCAAACAGGACACACCCTCCCCCTCCAGGAGCAGGGAGACTTCCAGAGGATCTGGAGCCTTGGCGCTACCTGAACTTCCCGGGGCACGTCCCGCCCACCCCAGGATCCACCAGAGACCCAGCAAGCCGACCCCACTCCACGCTGGGCACAGCTGCTTCTTTCTCATTTCTGCTAGAGGGTTAAGGGGAACGCTTGTGTTTGCACGTTTATCAGTCACAATCTGTTTCCATCATGTTTGAGCAGGGGAGGAAGCCACAACATAACTCCAGGATGCAGAAACTTTGTTTCCTTTAGAGAAAAGCTTATGTTGCAATGCCAGTTTGCTACTCTCTGGGTATCCAATGGTCTTCCCCTGCTGGTGCCCTTCTCACTTCAACCTCCAGCTCTCACCTCAAATGGATTTTCCTGAAACTCCAAACTGATTATTGGTGGCGTGTGGTACAGGTCCCATCCCCGCCCCCCTCCCCCATTCTCCCACAGGCAGGCTCCCAGATCTGCTGACGCCCATTTAAAGCACGCAGCGGCCTCGTGTTCAAACTTACACCATGCACACTTGAGTGATGACAGCCATCCCCCCTGCAAGGCCGCAAGGACAGGGGAGCTCAGCGCCTGGGTGGGGAGTGGGTGGAGCCCCATCACCACGGGAGGCCTCCACTTAGGGACACCTCCACAGTGGCCCTCGGAGCGCACACACCCACCGCAGAAAGGTGGGTCTGCAGACCACAGCCCTGCAGTCTGCCCACTGGCGGGAACCCCACTTGGACCCCACGGCAGGTACAAGAGCTGGCATCGTGGCTGGACCACATCCCACAAACGCAGTCCTAATGTCATTCAAGGTTGCCAGGCAAGCCCGAGAGAACTAATGAAATCCTGGAACAATGGCTGAGGGGCTGAAGAAAAGAGGCACATCAACAATTTTCCTGAAATCAAGAAGACACACACGATTCCTGCCTCACTGTATTTTCAAGGGCATATTTATGCTTTTCCTTTTCCTTCTCCCGCTTCCCCCATACCATTTATTGAGTATCTATCATTTGGCAGGGCCTGCGGGTGGCATTTAGTTCTCTGCCACAAAGTGAAAACAATTACCCCCACAGTAAAGAAGAGGAAACTGAGGATCAGAGGGGACCAGCAAATCAGAAAAGGCCTCCGAGCAGAAAGGAGGAGAAAACCACTCTCACTCGACGCCAGTAAACAGGTGGGTACCATTCCCCTTCCTTCGAGTGTCCCTTACCCGGTTCCAAAAACATTGCTGGTTCCCGACGATCAACCAACTCAAAGACCAAAAAGTCAGCTGAGCGCTGGAAGCACTCTGCAATTTAGTCCCAAACTCCTTCCCCAGTTTTATACCCTCATGTTCCCCTATGCTCCAGCCGAGCGAGGCTCCTCCAGCCCCAGAAGAGGGTCCCCCACCCCCAATGCCTCCTATAGCTTCAGGTCCCCCGCCCCCACCGAGCAAGGCTGCTGGAAAGGGAACGGGCTGCCTGGACCTGCGGGATGCGCTCCGCTATCGCACTCCCTGACCTCTCCCAGAGGCGGGGGGAGCAGCACCGGGAAGGGGTCTGAGACCCTCCACGCCGCTTTCAGTAGAGATCACTCTTCCCAGGCTGGAAAGCCCTCCCTTCCCATCCTCAACTGCCACGCTTTACCCAAAGGCAGGTTCATTTCGTGAGAAATCCCTCTCTTCCGCAGCTCCATCCACGGCCAACCTCCCAAGGCCCAGGGGAGGAGAAGTAACATGATTAAAATTTTAAAGCATTCAGATGCTCAAAGGAAAGGCACCCTTGAAGTGCAAATCATCAATTTACAGGGAAAAAGCAAAATATGGGGAGCGGAGGGATCTATACCTACGTGAATGCAGTGGAATTTTAAACAGTGTGCTGCCTGTGGCTGAGCAGTTTATGCAGCCTTGAGTCCCAGGCAGGGCAGCAAAACCCGGGTTGGTTTGCAGCAACTTTGGTTTATAGAATCTGCAATCTGAGGTGAGCTGGCTTTCTGGGGTCTGCCACATGGAGATGAGTTATTTAACAGGCAGGACACAGTGAGGATGTGCCGGGACGAGGGTGCTGAAGCAGCAAAAATGCTAGACAGACAATCCCCAAAAGCCTAATGCTGAAGCCTGGCGCCCTGTGAAAAACGTCAGGGTGCAGAGAGATCAGCTAAATGTGGAATCAGAGCCTTGACTTTGAGAGCAGGAAACAAGAAAAGAAACGTAAGTCCACTTACATCTACGACACTCCAGCTAGTATTTAAATTCTGCCTGTACGTGCATACCACGGTCTCTTTTTATGTCCAAACTTTACAAGCTAAAAATACCACATATTTCCTTTTATCGTGAGGATGAACTAAATTTGAAGAGACTTTCTAGTCTCTAAATCCATGGAAATAATTCAGAAGGCAGGCTGCACGATTCTACATGCTACATTATTAAATCCTGGACAGCAGGTTCTATTTAGCACCCCCGGCAAGTCTTCCGCTTTCATAGCAAAGTCCGCTTTCATAGCAACGTCCACCACACGAAGTTCGTAAGTCTTCTTCCTGCCATGTCAAAAGCTACCACATTTACGCACCTCCTCCCCGGCCCACAAATCACTAAACTATGCTAGGGCCCGAATTAAATTTTAGGGTTGGTTGACATACAGAATAGAATCCCAAATCACCGATGCATGTATAATCGTTTGTTTCCCACACATTTTTCTACATGGTCTCTGCACCTTCCTATTGCCCGTCCACAAGAAGTTCCTGGACTATTCTTTTTAAACTAAGGAGGATACTGCAGAGGTCAACCTGGAAGACTCTCTCAAATGCCATCCACCAGCTGAAGCCCACCCGCCAGGGGAATCCAGCCTCTGCCAACGCTAAGGCCACACTGTCGCTGCGTCCGGTCACATGTGCTAATTAATGGACGTAGCAAACCAAGGGAAGAGAAACACCAAGCCTGGCTCCGCAGGAAAGGCAGAAAGCTTTGCCAGGTCTCACCAGCACACCAGGCTCTGTGGTCCTGCCAAGGCACAGTTTACTGGGAAGCAGTTTTGAAATAATTCCAGTTTCACATGACCCTCGTTTTCACTATGGCAGCAGCTACACATGCTTCTACAGGGTGCACTGGCTCTTCACCTCTCGAGCATAAATGGAGACTTCGTGCACATGTACAAGAGTTCTCTGCATTAAAAAAGAGGGAGGGAGAGAGCCCTGACCAGTGTGGCTCAGTTGGTTGGGTGTCGTCCCACAAAGCAAAAGGTCGCCAGTTTGATTCCCAGTCCGGGCACATTCCTGGGTTGTGGGCTTGGTCCAGGTCTGGCAATGATTCTCTCACATTGATGTTCTTCTCCCTCCCTTTCCCTCTCTATAAAAGAGAGAGAATATAGAGAAAACAGGGCTAAGAGTACACTGTCAGCTCAGAACCAAACCAGCCCAATTCAGCACATGGAAAAACTATTTTCATTTCTGCCTCATGAGATAAAGCAAACCCATGAAATTCACCAAGAATCAAACAAGGCACCCACCTCCATCTAATTACCTTCAGCTAAGAATCAATGAACGAATGAATGAATGGATAAAGAGAGGGCGAAAAAACCTCTGAAGCAGCCAAACTCAACGCTGACATTTACAGGTTGGACTTTAAGGCTAAAGTCTGTGCATCTACAGTTACGCAGCTCGGCTTGTTTCAGGCTACCACTCCGTGGTTCCAGCCCAACCCAAGGTCCACCTCCATTAACTCAGAATTTCCTGGCTTGGCGATGACACCGAGCGTCACAGTAATGGGGGTTACAGAATTCTGGAAAAGATAACGCTGCTTTCAAGACCTATTAACCACCCAGCACCACAAACACCGCCGGGCAGCGCGTGCACAGCCCAGAGCCCTCCCGGCCCCAGTAGGCGCACGGCCGCAGAACCGCGCCGTCCGGGCTCCTCTGGGCGCTCCGTTTCCCCCCGAAACGCCGGGCCGTCCCGAGCGCCTTACGCGGTCCCCACGGCCTAATAACTCGGCCTTTGGGGCCTGTCGAAAACACACTCCTAGAAGAGGGACGATCCCCCCGTAACGGGGGAGTGGGGATGGTGCACGCGGCGCGGGAGGGCCGGGGCCGAGCGGGACAGAGTGGAACGCGGGGCCCGGGAGGCGAAGGTCGGGGCACGGCGTGGCCGGCCTCACTCGGGGCGCAGGGGCAAGGTGGCCTCCGCTTACTCCCGCCCAGAGGAGTCCGTTTTATCCAACACCGGGCTGGCTGCGCCCCCCGCCCTCAGAGGAACGGGCAGAGAAAAGGACAGAGTCCAGCACTGCGCCCCCTCCTCGCGCGGGGTGACGCGGGGGAAGGGGGAAGGATTTGCAGCGGCATGTATCAAAGGGCTGAAAAGAAACTTGGACTGCTCTCTCCTACTGTACACGACACGCTGGAAAGGCAGCCGCCTCGCCCTCCCCTCCTCCCCACCCCCTTTTGTGTTTCCTAACACCCGCACAACACCCGCACCCCTAAACTTCCCACTGCAAGGGATGGGGCTTCGGCGGCCGGACAAGACTCAAATCAAATTACGTGGAGCAGAGGGGACGTCCACGGAGGGGGAAGGGGGACGACAAGAAAGGCATCTGCGGTCCCCAGCCCAGCGGGGCTGAGCCGAGTGACCCTCTTCCGAGCCCGGCGAGCGCGGAGGGGACCGGTGCGCCCACTGCCTCGGGGACTCCGCGGGAGGCCCGGGGCGGGGGGCCCGAGCCGAGGTCCGCACAGAGGAGAGCAGGAGGGGCGGAGAGCCCCTCTCGGTGCCCAGCGGCCACGTCCGAGCGGGGGCTCGGGGCTGCGTCGGCGTCAGGAGGGCAGGGCGCGGGGGTGGCAAGGAGTCCGGGTTCGGGGGGCCGGGCCGCGGGCGGGCGCCCACTCACCTTCCTGCCGGCACCGCCGCTCGCGCCCGCGGCCAGCGCGGAGCCGCCCCCGGAGTACATGTAGTAGGCGATGCCCAGCACCCACAGGAAGGCGAAGCAGAGCAGCATCCGTGAGCGCCGCCGCATTCTCCCCACTCGGCCGCCGGCCGCGGCGCCGCTGCTAGCGAGTGCTGCCTGGGGCCGGCGGGCAGGCGGGCAGGCGGGCAGGCGGGCGGGAGGGCGGGCGGGGCGCGCCGGGGCGGAGCGGAGGAAGGGGAAGGGCGCGGCGCGGCTCCTCCTCCGGCGCGCGCTCCCGCTCCGCGAGGCAGCGAGGGCGGCGCGCCCTGGGCGCAAAGCTCCGCCCCGGGCCGGGATCGCCGCGCTGTCCCCGAGCAGGAAGCCGCGGCTCCGGAGGCGGCCAGGGGGTCAAGGAGCAAAGGGCGACCAATCAGCGGGCGGCGGCGGCCGGGCGCGGGCGGAGGAGAGGGGATTAGCGCGTCTCCAAGGCTGCTGCACACCAGCCGCCCCGCCTCCTCTGCGTCCTCCCGCGCGCCCTCCGCCCCCCATGAGTGACAGGTGGCTGCCTGGACCCCAGAGGAGCGCGCGCACCCGTGCTCGTGCGCACGTGCACATGCGTGGGGGACACTTGATCACTGCTTCTTCGTGCTTGCTACCCTGCAAGCACTATCGACTCTTCTTCCAAACCACCTCGGACCCTTAAAAGGGTCGCTTTTATTGGCCCACCATCCTGAGTCTTGCTGCAGTTCCCTCCTGGACCCCACCTCGCTGCTGCTCGTTGCAGGGTTTTTTTTTGTTGGTGGTTTTTTGTTTTTTGTTTTTTTTTACCAATCTTGCAGCTAAACGTCCCTAATCCCCAGGGGTCAGTTTTATTTATTCATTTAGGCAGAGGTGGGGGCCTAGAGGTAAAAGCTCAGAGGTCGTCTTCAAGGGAACATTTTTCTGGGGATGAACACAGCGCTTAATAGCAGGGGTTATTTTAGGGGTTTCTTTCTTTCTTTCTTTCTCTTTCTTTCTTTCTTTCTTTCTTTCTTTCTTTCTTTCTTTCTCTCTCTCTCTCTCTCTCCTTTCTTTTTTGAACTAAACATGAAATGAGGGAAACAACATGTATTTTAAAATATTTTTAATTGCTTAAAAGAAGAAAGAAGAGTTAGCACACTCAACATCTTTAAAGATGCAAGAAGGCAGGTCTGTCTTGTAACAGAATCTACTAACCCTGACGGTGCCCTCCTAACCGCAAAGTTTCCAGTGTTCCTAGAAACGAAAAAAAAGAAAATGTTACTTAGCACTTGATATTTTAAAAGTGATTCCAGGAGCTCCCGGGGCCCAGAGGATAAGGATGGCTGCTTGAATCTGAATCTCCTCATATCCTCCACAAAACACAGGTGCAAGCAAAGGAGCCTTCAGCGCTCCTAGGCAAGGGAAAGCCGTAAACTGAACTTTAAGTTACTTCTTAAGTTGAAGAGAAGACATCAAATTCCACCAGAGCTCCCTCCCACTGTTGCCAAGGACTTACGTGAAGCCCAGGCTTAAATCCCTCTATAAAGACAAAGTCTAACACCAAGAACTCAAAACTCAGGTCTGGTATTTGATTCAGAAAAGAGAAGGGGTTTGAAAGAGAACAGGACAGGAGGTGGTAGCCTTGAAAGCCTTGATTCTGGGAAAAGTCCGAGAACTAGAGAAAGGGTAATGCGCTTTGGAGGCCAGGCGGAGAAGGGAAAGAAGGCGGGAAGAAGGAAAACGTAAAGATACTGCAGAAATAGAGCGCAGGGACTCCCTCCGCCAGCCGCTGTTACCTATGAGAAACTGCACCTGAGCATGCGGATAGAACATTCTTGAACCAGGACCCCTGTGTCAAAATGTTTCGTAACAAAGACCTCCAATTAGGTGCATACAAGGCCATTGTAAAAAGAAAACAGAAAATTAACCACATTTCTTATGAAGAGAAAAATGAGCCATAACATTTCAGCTGATGAACCGCTCCCCGCCCCCGCCCGCAATAAAACAAGGAAGCAGAAGAAAACTGTAACACCACATATCAAACCATCAAACTGGACGAAGTGTCATGTGTCTGGACACAGAAACACATACACACACATACATCTATTCAAGTAGAATCAAAAATTCAGAAACTAAGACTAGACAAAAATTCAGAAGAAATGCAACAAGAATTTATCAGATTCAAGAAAGAAATTTAAAAATAAAGATAAAACTATCCTGGAAACAAAGAATGATTACAAGGTGCCCAAGGGAAAATATATTCAAATATAAATTTGTAAAGGACCCTAAAGAATGACAATAAAGTAAGAAATTGAAAAAAGAAGTAAAACGCTTTTAAAAAGTAGTTGAAGTGAAAGAAAAGAGGTGCCAAAATACATATAACTGGGGTTCCCAAAGTAGAAACACCAAACAGGATTATAATCCCAGACATAATGTATAACTTGATGACTGTAGTTAACACTGATGTATGTAACACTATTTGAAAGTTAAGAGAGTAGATCCTGATTATTATCACAAGGGAAAAAAGCATTTTTAAAAACATTATCTATATGAGATCATGGATAGCGTGGTAATCTTTTCACAGTATATGTTAGTCAAGTCATTATGCTATACACCTGAAACTTACACAGTGTTGTATGTCAATTACATCTCAACAAAACTGGGGGAGGGAACTATAATCCCATAAAATAATCCATAAATAAGAGAAAATTCAAATTACATATCTAAAGTTACTTCCACATACCTTGGGAAGCCGGTTTGGAATAATCAACTCCAGAATGTATTTTAGTAAAAGTATTACATTTTAAAGACAAAAAGATCAAATTGCTTGTGGTGGTAATTCAGGCTGGCATCAGACTTCGTAACAACATACAAAGCAAGTCAACCATAGAACAGCATTTATAAGAAACTCAAATAAAAGAAAATACTAGCCAAGGATTTTTGTGACCAAACTTCAAGGATCAAAGTTATAGACAAACATGTGAACAGAGGGCAAAAATTTAGAGAAAGTCACATTTCTTTCCTAGCAAATGAGCTTCCCCAACCAAGAGGTAAGTGAAGAAACCAGCAAAATGAGTGAGAGCATTCATACATTTAATTGGTGGAAGAGCAGTTCATACACATTATACTTCCTGAGAATTTAGAACAGGTACAACTACAAACAATTGAAAGAGAAGGGGAGAGAAAAAGGAAACCAGAATTGTTAAACAGATCATATGTGAGAGTCAAAGGAAACTATAGAAAATGGACAGATCGGAAATTAAAAGGTTAAGAAACAAGGAAGGGATAAAGGATAATATAAAAATATAAACACTACACCAAAGCAAAATATAAATTTCTGAAGTTTGGAAACCCTATTCTACACCCTTAAAAAAACTATTTTAAATGGTAAAGAATAGTGATAGAGACATAATAAGTAGAGCATAATACATGCATTAATTGTAACAAAATAATATGACAGAGTTGAGACCAAGGCAATCAGTATATCAATTTACAAACAGGCTTAATTTGCTTCTTCAGAGATTTTCAAATTTGGTCAGAAAAGAAAAACTAGAGCAATGATATCCTGGTATCAATGAGCACACCTTACAACCAGGTCTTGGATTCTAAATACGTTCTCCGCTATCAGAAGTTTTCCTTGGAGAAATAATAGATTCCATGATTAGGCATATAAGGTACTAGTGGAACCTAGAATATCTTGTTGTAATAGAAAGTTAGGAAGAGATAAAATGGGGGGGATGTTAAAAGATCACAGAAACTAGTCTGAAAGGCCCCCACTGGTTAAATCTATGACATACAAGTATCAAAACACAGAATAAGATAGGAGCCTATGAGTCCATGCTGATAACACATAGATAAATAAATGGCAGAGGTAGGCTCTTCCTTTTAGTAGAATGCCAACTAATGAACATAAGATTAAGGGTGAAGTTGAAAATCACCACTTGGCAACCTGTGCCACAGTAAAGATCGGCTGCAGGAGACTCATCCATGGAAACTGAAGTGTGGGCAGGGTAGGGGGAGTTTCATGAGAAAGAAGGTATTTATAAGGTCTTCAAATATCCTTCAGAACAATGCCTCTTAGTTGCAAAGGGAACTTAGTAACTGTATGGTAGAGAAAGCGGACAGCACCTTGGTCAGGTGATCAAAATTAATATCACTCATGGGGAGCAGATGGCTAGCCCGTGTCTGCCATCTGGGAAGGATGCAACATCACCATTTTAATATTCTGGCCAAGGACACATACCTGGAATCTAATCATGAATACATACTGGGAAATAAAATGAGGACCATTCTGCGAAACAATTGCTTTGTATTCCTCAGGAGTGTCACTGTCGTGAAAGACAAGGAGAGGCTGAGGAGGTGCTCCAGATGAGTGGACTTAAGGAGACATGGTACCTACAAGCAATACGTGACCCTGTGCTAGAGGCGAAAGATGCCGTGAGCCCGTGAGCGGAACGGCGAACACGCTGGGCCCTGGCTGCGGATTAGCCGATGGTACCGTGTCATTTCTTCTGATTTTGCAACGCACAATACAGTGTGAGGTGTTTTGAGTTTGGTCACTGTACTATGCTTACATTCGAGATTCTTGCCCTTAGGAAACAGGAAATGAAATTCAAAGGTTAAAGGGGCATGAGACACACAAACCACACTCAAAAGTTCGGAAAAAATACTGACAGAGGATCATAACATAAATGTAGCAAAATATGAGTCCGGGTAAGGACTATGGGAATTATTTTTTGCAACTTTTTGGTATATTTGATATTTCTAATTTTTTTAAATACATGCTTTCCCTTGCAGCGTGGTAGACCCTGATTACTGATTTCATTTTGCAGATGAGGAAGGACACGGAAACCCGAACTCACCCGGCCAACGCTGCGCCGCCCCGACCTCAAACCCCACCTCCCCGTTTCCCTAGGCAGCTGGCACGCATGCTACTCCTCCTTCCGTTTCTTCTGCCTTCGTGTGCTTTCCTAAGCCACCTCCACAGAAGTTTGTGGCTGCTTGCGCATGTGCGTGGGTCTGTATTTTTATAGGTAATGGGCCGAGTGGCAAACTTGGCCCTGGCTCTGTTCAGCACGGTGGCTGTCGTTTACAATGCAGTGTTTTCACGGCAGAAGCCCGTAGGGCTTTTTTCTCGACTACTTGCGAACAGCTACAGTTTTTGTAGCAGCGCGTGAATATGGCTTAGGTTTTGCGGCTGGCTGCAAGGTAAC